CCTCAGATCCTTATAATGTCGCTCTAACTAACTAAGCCTCCTGGTTAACAGAACTGTCCTGGCCCAATTGTGCTAAAATATAAAGTTATAGGGGATGTTGCTGTATTTGAAAATTACTCTGCAGTGGGACAGGCATCCTTAAGTGTGACTTTGATAATATCTTTGTTTACGGGTCAGTATGTGTACTGGCAAAGGCGATGGCACTGACTACACCTTTGTTGTGTGAGACAAAGACATATTTCAGCAGTGATGTCAGGTTTTGCCAAAAAGAAAATCTGATTTATTAACTATTTGTTCAAAATACCTATGTCCTTAATCCTGTATCAAAGTTTTGTATTTTTTTTTCAGATTTTCCAAGTTCGTGTTCGTGAGGAGAACAAGACCCACAACTTCCTATCGGCGGACGTGATGAATCAGATGTTCTCCAATATCACTAGTATATACCAGTTCCATAATAACTTCCTCCTACCCCAGTTAGAAAACAGGATGAAGAACTGGTAAATATACTAGAGTTATTCTTGAAGGAATTATGTTCCTTTTTTTTTTTTTTTGGATTTTTTCTTTTTTAAACACTCATCTTCACTTTGTATATCTAATTGTTCAAAACACATCTTTAATCTCTTCCTTCAAACCACACTGTAGATACCACATATACAACCCATATTATGCAATTTTGTAGGTCATGCAAATTGTCTGGAAAAAAACATTGACTTTTTCTTACAAACATTGTTATTACTAGTATAATATTTTAGGTATTGATGATAACATATGTCCGAACATTTTCAAGGTCATGAGGTCAAAGGTCATTACCATAAAACACCATATGCGGCTGGATTTCACTCAACATAAATGTTAGTCTGTTTAAATACTTCTTATCAATGAAGACCAAAATATTCTTAGTGACACCTTTCCTTTGAATACTTTCATGAAATTTCTTTTACAGGGAATCTGAACCAAAAATTGGAGACCTGATGCGAAGCAATGCTCCCTTTTTGAAGCTCTATACAGAATATGTGAAAAACTTTGATCACGCCATGAACCTGATCAATGTTTGGTCGGAGAAGTCTTCAAAATTTGCAGCCATCATGCAGGAAATACAGGTAACAGAGTGTTCAAAAATAGGTAAAGCTCAGTTTAATAAAAAAAAAAAATATTGTCATGTTATAGTATCTGTTGTTGGTCATTTTCTGTTAATTCTTGAA